TTGAACCAATTCATGGTTACTTTATGAAATGAAATTATTTTATTTTTTTAAACTGCTGATTATTAACTTGTTTTTCACAACTTTCTAGAAATGTTAGACACAAATAAGCAATTAAAATCTTTATGAAAATGAATATTAAACTATGCCAATGGTCAGTTTTAGGAATCGTTAAAGCTCACATAGAAATTGCTTATACACACTTTTCCTCTATAGAAGGTGCTAAATTTTAAACACTTCTGAAGACTTGCTAGCAAATTGTATGCAATGTTTCTACAAAGATATAACCGCTTGGTAGATTTAGGGACAAATTCAGTCTGGTCTGTCTTACAAACAAAGCGCCAACCATTTTGGTGTCCATCGGTCTACATTTTCTCGGCTTCACCAGCGTTTTCGCACTAAACTACAGGCCGAATGACGTCATATTTCACAGGCGACTATCCGCACCGTACGGTCTATGAGGCGACGATGTACATCTGTAAGATACGATGATGGAGGACATTGTTGTTTCTAAAGATCCCGACGGTGACATTACGAATAGACATTTTTGAGGGACTTTGTTTTGGATTTTCAGTTTGGTTTTTATACCTTTGTTAAGTTTGCATTACTGTCATGAAAAAGTGTGATTTTGGGATTTTCACCTTAGGTTCTTCGATTTACTGGTGTTCATTTGATTTTAAACATTTTGAATTATTTTCAGTTGTTAAGTTTGCGTTTTGTATTAAAGTTATGATATATATCTAATAGAGTCGTTAGTGTTTTGTTTTCATGTAATAAAATGCATATAGTGCGGGCGTGCGTTTTCATTGTCCTTAAGTATAATATACACGACATACTAAACAGCGAAAGCTGTGGGTGGCATATATAATTGTCAGTTGTATTTATGTGACAAGAGCTCTTAATCTTAATATTGATCATTGAAATAAAATATGCTGCAGACATATGTTTAAAAATGGGTATAAACTCCATTAAAAATTATTTTTGATAACTAAAATTCCGTTTTCTCAAAACAAATTTGCAGTCGGAAGTATATAGCCACATCCATGCGGTTACAACATCGCAAACTATTGGTAGCCCTATTTCGATGTTAACAACTTCATTTTGCAGGGAGAGAGCTATATACGTTGCAAATTTAGTCATTTGTCGGGTGCCAAGTCCTTTATGTGGCATAACATAGCATGCACAAGATTGATTTCTCACTAGAACGTATTGTCATTATACGTGGTTTAAAATTTAACAAAATCTGAAATCACAGGGCAGGCTTAAATTTAAAACCGTTACTTTTTCTCACAGTTTTTTAGTTTATGTTATAGTTCATATATTAGAATTATATAAAAATTAAGTGCAACAGAGCGTCCGCAAATGACCGGAAACTTATAACACCTAATCTTTGAATCTGCGACAGAAGACAAATTGCCATTGTCACATTCCTAAACGGATACTTTCGAATAGTGCACCACAGTGGTGCTTCATTCGGTGAATTATGGGTGCTTGATATGGCGAAAAATGCACTACTTTGAATTGTACCCCAAATAAGCAAAATAAACAAAAATGTAATATCTCGAGACAGTGCTATTTTCTCCATGGTCATGTTGTCATCGATATGAACTCTGAAAGGTGTTTAAATAAGCACCTTTGATAAGAAACTTATCAAACACTCATAGTAATTTTAATCATTAACCTCAAAACAATAGAAGTTATCTGCTCGTTGAGAGCCATGGTACTAATATGCTTTGATGTATCGTTATTTCCATTACATTTAGTAAGGAATAATAACAAACAAAAATACATATATGCAGTCAGACAAACACAGACAGACAAACAAAATAATAGGTAGATGCTTCCAAAAGGCTAATGTTATCGCCGAATGAAAATGACAGGTATACAGGACAGATAAGGTATATGGACATAAACATATGGACATACAGACTGAAAAGAGATGTACGGACAAGTCTTGGACTATCGTATCAAAACTGCATACCTCATTTGAAAAAATATATAAAAATGGTACGCAGGACATTCATTCATTAACAATAGATAATTCAATAAATAAAACAGTGACAAAACCACTTTGAATACGTTTTATTAACAAAACATAAACAATTAAAAGGATCGAACGACCATCTCATATTCAGAACTTTTCTCCATAATTAAGAAAATGATTCCGAGGGTAACAGTGTCTGCACTGATAACTGAATTTTACATTTTATATTGTGTTTCAAGAAATATAGATAATAGCATAGCTAACAATGCAATTGATTTTTTGTAGTACTGTAATGAAAATTAAAAAAAAAGAAACAATGGTGCAGCTTAGTAACTGCTTGTCGTAACTTTATGATTTATGATTAAAAAGTTCAGACTTAAAATAGTTATAACAATAAACGCCTTAACAATGACGTCTAGCTGTTCTTTCCTCGACCTATCAACACTTTCTCTAAACCCATCATTGGTGATTCAAATGCCAGTGAAATGATGAAAGCGAATCCATAGGTTAAACACAGGTTAGCCATGAACAAATAAGACTGAAAGATAAATATAGAAAAAGAAATCAGTTGATTTTATTATCAAATTAAATGCAATATATAGTATAATGTATTTAACAACTAGAGTATTGGCTGGTATGTTAACGCTCGTCTGTTAAGGGCACCCACTGTCAAAACCCATTTTTTTTAGATATTTTTAAGAGGAATAACTCCTTAAAGTATTGCTTTCTGAATATCGTATCGCGTCTTACAATTGCACTTTGTCAATATAATCAAGTATTACAATTTTAAAGTTGATCACATTGATTGAATGTTTTGAAATCATCCTATTTATTATATGCAAATTTGACAAAATATCTAAGGTAAAATGTGCATAATTCCAAAAAAAAGTAAAGTAATGCCACTTGTCTAACACGTATAGTTTCTTGTTGTTTTGTAATCATTCTACTTGATAGTTAATTTGAAGAAAAAAAAACAAGAGAAAAACAGGCAACTAACTGCATAGTTTTCAAAACACTGCCCCTCGTCTTTCAACTGCTTATTGTCATTATAAGGAAGCATCCAAAGTTTCATATTGATACCTTTCAAAACTATTTGAGTAATGGGCTACATTTAAATTTTCACACAATGACAATGAAGACGACGTGGCAACGATCTTAACAGTTAAAATTTTCTTCCAATAAGACGAACTAGTAGTATTGATTTAAAACAAAACAATATCAATACAAATCAATACAATATTTATGTATCACAAAACAATATTATGATATGATATTGTTTCGGTCGCTATCCGAAACTGTCTTTTCAGAATGGCTCGTGAAAAATTTATTCCAAATAAGAAAACTGACTTAAATTCTTTGCGGCCGACTTTAAGTTTGGAAAGCGCGATTTGTTTCAATGTGCAATCAATTTTATCGGTTGAAATCACTGAATAATACTTGCGATGTTTTCTGTAGGCGTACTTTAAGGTTTTATTGATGTAACAACAACAACAATGCCTAGATTAAACTTTTTTTATATGTTTATAACACAATAATTATTTACTTACAAACTCCAGATCGTACGCCACCAAAAGAGTCCTCCGACTATAGTAGTATGTGTACATTATCACAGGATGGACTAAATAGGCACAGTAAGTAAGGCGGCTTAAAGGTATTATTGCGCGCCAGGAAAGTAGTGCATTGACTGGACCTGTATCAAGAAAACGAAAAGATCAATTTTCAAAGAATTATTATTTTGGTAATGTTTTATATTTCCTTTAATACTAAACATTAATATGTAGTTTCCTTAAATATTATTCTTGTTCACCCGAACAACCAAACACCAAAAATTTATTTTCAGAAAGAAAATATAATATTATATTGTCCCAGTACTACAACAATTTATATAGCAGTCGCAAAAAGGAGAATGGTTTGTTACATTATGTGTATAAATATATTACATTATGAACATTCTTCGTGAGATGACATTGGTAGAGTGTTTCAATGTTTTCTTACTAAATCATTTTATGTTCAGGATTCTGTCACACCAAAACTGGCACCAATTTAATGGACATTTTCAGAGTTTTTTTGTATTTATGTCAACTCTCACCTTTATGAGGTAAATAAAACAGGTATCTATCTTTCTTTAACGTAAAAAGTACCTTAATTTGTAACATTTGTATCAATAAGGGCGTGATTATTTTACTATATCTATAATTATAATGCAATGTTCGACAATGACATTACTGTGGAAATCTATTTCTAACCATCCAACCAACCTCCATATCCGGTTGCGCACGCAAATATTACCCACGCCACAGCCATTCCCCATGCAGTCCTACCCGTGGCATTATATAGTGCCGCCACATCTCCACTGAGGTTATCATTACCGTCGGGATCATAGAGACCATACAGGACTAGTAGTGCTGCAGCAGTTGCTAATGCCCAACCTAACATGTTAATAATCTGAAACAAACAACATAACACTATTATAACAACTTTTTTATTCTTTTAAATGGTTTTCTTGCACCGCTGATTTCCAACAATCCTGAACTTCTTAACATTTCTAGAAGATATTAATCAAGACAGGATAACCTTAAGATCGGAAGTCGGAGTCATTAATCAGAAATGTTTTCACTTTTTTTTCCAGACCTTATAAAACTGAAGCCTGGAGAAATGGCCTTTCTCATAAATCTTTTTTTTAAAACCAAGCTTATGCAGCTTGAAAAAAAATTCAAAATTTTGTGTTTTTAACTCACCATAATGATTGTGGTTTCGTTGTTTCGAATTTTCACCATCGTACTTTCGATTTTTCATCATTCATTAATTAAAAGTGAATATATATCCCTGACATTAATTTTGCCTTGTTTGATAATCGATTGCAAAAATACGATGCTCTAGATTTTAGGATGTACAATATATAGACTTATAATTACAGCATTGTTGCATTCAGTTACATGAAACTACTCACCATAAGCAATTTTGCTTAATACACTAAGTAAGATCATGTGTTGTTTGTTATAGTATAATGGTAAATTTTGGTTCTTAAAAAATACTTACCCTAAAATCATATTTGAGCTAAGATTGTTATGCTTAGAAATAACACCTGTTGTGATGAAATTAAGTAACACGAGCACCAAACATGTAACACTCCCCCAAATCTTTGAACTGTAATTAAACAAAATCTCAGTTAACAACTAAAAATACTTTCTGCGGTTTCAATTCGAAACAGGTTTAAAAAGTAAATGTGGAGTACCTTATGATCGCCCGTCAGGGCGTTACTGAAAATAAATGCAGACCAGGTTTGTTTGAGCTTTATCGTGAACGGCAGCGGTAAGTGCAAGTTGTCGTCCATGCCCACAGGGAATGGAATAATAGTAAGTATTACGTGATCGTAAGCGTACATTCTTAAGTATCTTATATGCACTGTAAAGAAACTGTAACTAAAATAACATGTAAAGCTCAGTCTTTGATAGAAATCGACAGTATAAGTCGAAATTACACGAGCGAAATATGTTAGTAATGAGGATAATATAAGTGATATAATTACTAGTAAAGTGGAACCAGCATCAGTGGAGATAAGATATAAAACTGCATGTCGTTAGCTAGGTACCAGCTCCATGCCATACACTGAAAAATAACACAAAATGACCAATTACTTCTTGTCCTGTATTACTGAAATAATTTTAAGTATTTTGTATTATAAATCTTATCTTCAACGATATTTACTCATATATTGAATTACATGCAAATACTTATTTTGAAGCAGATGCCTGCAGATGCATGCTTATTTTCATAAATAAAAATGGAAATGTATAAAACAAATAAAACATTGTAAGTGAGCAAAGATAGTAGTTTACATATTACAAAAGTCCACTTGAATTACCAAAACAGGTCCAAATATACCACAATCGCCCTAACGGTGTTAGTCATGTTAAAAAAAAGGTGAAAAATCGATCATTAATCGGACATAAAATTTTAATTATTACTTAGGTCGTGAGTTTTGTTTTAACTTTTCTGAAAAGCGTAGTACATTTTTCTCAAGTTTTTCTTGAAATAGTTTGCTCATCTGAAGGCATACAGCTTTAAACTATGCATTTAACCTTTTGAACTTGTGTAGTCACATTAAAGTAGCAAATAAGTGAGAGGTAAGAATCAATAAAATAATTAATATCTTTTATTTTCTTTAGTTTATATATTCATGCTGGTAGCAAGTTATCAAACAACACTTTTTTTCTTCCTTTGAAATAAAAAAAAATACAAGGGCTATATAAACGTTATTCATGTTAGAAACGTTTTTTCGTCTTCTATATCTTTTTTCAAAGACTTACAGGCAGGAACATAAAATTAAAATGTTTGATTAAGCAGGAGTATCTAAAATTTGGATGATTGAAAAATTATTAATTCTATAATCTCTATAGAAAGTATGTTATTTGATAAAGCAATCTGTTGAATTAACTTGTGATTTCATTTCGCAATTTTTTATATGAAAAAAAAAACGCGACTTAATATAACAATCTATGGTATGAGCGTGTGATTTGATGTAGCGTTTTATGGAATAAATAAATGAGATTTTATTTAGCAATCTTTGGAATGAATGTGCGAGTTGATAAAGCATACCATTGTCTTCGGTTCTACGAGATTATTAATGTAGAGAATATTTTTCCACCAGGAGTCTCTGCATTCATCTACTTCAAACCCAGGCGTCTGTGGCCAAAGAGGTCCCATGGTCCAGTAGCGTATAGTAGGCACATATAGCATCAAAAAGAGCATATAGGGTGGCGTCAACCTAGAAAAAATCATTAAAACTCGTTAATATTTCATATTATTTCCAAATCTGAGCTGTGGTACAAAGATCTATTTTAATTAAAACTTTTTTCGAAAGCCTTAAAATGTTACCGAGTTAAACAACTGCTTACATGAAAATAATACATTTTAGACAAATTTATCAATTATGTTATTTAATACATGCATCAATGACATACCTCCAAAATCTATGGAAGTAAAACATTCCCCAGTTGAACTTTTTGGCACCATTTTTCTTCTTCATCTCTCTTAGTGTAAGGTAAGCGACCAACAATCCGCTGTTTGTAGATGAACATACGATTAATCATATAGTAATGTAAAAAATGAAAGAAAAAAAAACATCACAGTAAGCGGGTGGTATATTATGAAAGGACACGTTTGGAAGCATTTTGCAGGTGCACGATGACATCTTTTCCTACCATTGTATATTGCTATGCAAATGAATATATAAACAGTGTTCTTCAGCGTGTATTTTGTATTTTAAGGGACCCCATTTAGGACTTTTGATATGATGAGAGATATTTTTCCGATATTTGTGAACCTTTTGATGCAGGCCTGGACTAACAACTTTTGTGATGTATTGTTCGTATCATTCATTCCTTAACCCCGTTTCTTTACCAGAAAAATCATATTTCTTGTCGAAAATGACCCAAAAAATTACAAGCGTTTAATATTTGTCACCCAAATTATGCTAAAAATTGCACAATCAAATCGATATTCAATATAGTTCTGAGTATTTTTTTTTTCTTATTCTTTGTAGAATTATCGGTTTTAGTGCTTTATTTGATATATGTATGAAATTCAAATTACTTGTATGTTTTCAGGCTTTTTTTACCTCAGTGGAACTCCTCTACCAGTTAATTTTGTTTTTCTATTTACGATCTATACTAGATATCATTTGGTTCACGTATCTAATTAAAGACGAAGAATACACATTAAATTTGGAAAACATAAAGAGTTGTACCCATTTTCCTTAATTTTTTAACAAACAAATTATTTTACTTTTTAAAAAAAATGTATGCATATAGCCAAGAAATACATGGGTCCGTGTATATGATATTTTAGATTGTCTTTATCTTTTACAAGCACGTTACATGTATATGTTACATAACAATATTTAAAGCAGACGACAATTCACCTTAATACGAAAAATGTATCCACAGCCACCGTAGCATTTGATATTACCTGGAAAGAAAACCTCTTCAGGACTGAAGGAAGGAATGTGTAAATGTTGTCTGAAAATAAACAATGTCAATAAATAAATATACATTATCAATACAATAGAGGTCGTTCAAATAACGCAATTATACATTTTACGACAAAAAAAATTTAAAAGTATAATTATAATTGCTTTTGTATATTTTTATTTTATATTTCTGATTTATGTTCCCAAGTTAAACTGTGAAAGAAATTCAAAATTTATGTTTTTAGGCTTTTTAGACCTCAGTGAAGTTACTTTCATGATAGCTATTAAATGACATTTATATCTATAAATACAATTACAAATATTATGAAAATCACATACCAATAACACCCAGGCCAAAAGCGTATGAATGACCCAGAACAACCCAAGTCATGCTGATGAATCTTATCCCATTAACGCTTGTTAATATTCCAGACGCTTGATCCGTGTTTAATATTTTCGAGGCGTTTGTATAAGCAGAAAATGACAGCAGCAGTTTTCCAGGTAGTCCTAGAAACGTCAAATTTTAAATTATAGAAATCTATCTATCATACAAGTACAAATGTTGCTGCAATGCAGCAATTGTGAAGCTCCGCGCAAAAAAAAATGCGCTCATTATAGATACCTTACCAAATTATTCCTACGCACAGGTCATGTTATATTCAGATTAAGTACTATTGTAGATTTTTTCCGAATGTTTTGTAAACCATTTTTTGCATAATTATACTTATCTTATGCACTGTCCATAATTAAAAAGAGGGGGAAAATATTTAATTTAAAAAATGCTTTCACTGATGCCTACCTGGTAAGGAAAGTAATTTCATTGAATACAAACAAGACTTACAAGACTTGTAAATGTTATGTGACATGACTGTACTGTGTTCTGTTTCAGTAACAGAAGATAGATGCTAGAAATATCAAAGTCTGTTATAATTGTAACAAATACACAATAATAACAAAAGGGACTAATATTATAATATAGTAATATTACATGAATATTTTTCATGTCAAATTAAAAAAATGGTTTCTTTCAATACTGAAAGTAGAACACACTCTGGAATGAAAAAATGGGATGAATTTCCAAAAGACCAAATTCAGGATTTTTTTTGTTTGTTATACACGCGTTATATGGTGATACATTATTTATCAATATAATAGAAGACTGTTACCTGAATTTTAGGTAGGTATTAGGAAATTCACTAATATCATATTCGTGCGAGACAAAGATATGAAAGCTATTTGACATTGGTAATATATATAAAAAAAACTATTGTTAATTAATTTTTAGGGAGATCAATATATATTTTTTTGTTGAAATGCTTTAAAACCATTCATAAAAATCATTACACTTCATGTTCAAACTGCAGATCAAAGTTTCTTTTGTTGTCATGATATCTATCTATAGCCTATGCTTAAGGTGATTCCGCTTTGTCAGCCATGTTTGTTTTAACAAAAGTCTGTCCAAAGTAAAAGTAGGCCAAAATTCATATAACAACAAAGCTCCTATTGTAAAATGATGAACCATTTGAAAATACACTTCCAGGTTTATATTTTAAGGGCAATTATAAAAAAAATAAAAATGATAACAATAAGAATATTAACCTTGAATGTGCTACATTTCTGAAGACCAAAAACATTCTGTTGCAAAGTTTTATGCACATTTCATGAATGGCAAAATCCTTTTAACCAATATATCATCATGTTATTATTAAACATTAAATTTCATAAATAGAAATTAAAAATAATTATCAAAAGCAAAATTGTTAAAATCTTTTGCCTGGAATCATCAAATTCAATCACTAATAGTATACTTGATATGCTGTGAGTAAATGTATTTCAAAATGTAACAAATTATAATTTCATGTACTACTAAAAAGGGAAATAACAAATTTATAAGTGTCAAAAATCAAAACATTTATAGCTATTTATAGCTTTCGAATTTATGTAACAGCAGAACTGCTTTCCAGTTCTCATTCATTAATATGACATGCTGCAAATCACCGACGGGGAAACCAATATAGAAATCGAAAGGAGTTCTTGAATGCGGATTTACTTTTAGCTGTTAATCGAAAGGATTTATTGCTCAAATCCCGGTCCATGGACAAAAAATTCATATGTTTTAATAACTATTAATTTTTTAAATAATCATATAAGAAGGACTTTACAGTTGATTGTTGTTTCTGCAGGTACCCCTTAGACACAAGGATGAAAAAGGATTTGAAACCCCATGCTTTATTCTAAATAATTAATACTTAATAATTAAATATCAATTATATATAATTATGTATATGTCTATACAATAAGCAAAACTATTGCCAAAAGGGAGTTGAACATTATTTAATGTACTCTATAACTTCCAACATATAACGTTGTATACATTCACAAACATTCATGGCGTAGACATTAAAAACTTTATCAAAGATTGATATAATGAAAGGAAACGAAATAATTTCTAAATTTAGCAAAATTTAGCAAGATTTAACTTTTGAATTTACAGAAATTGCCATTTAATAGGACATTCAAACAAATTTCACAGGGTCTTCCTGTGTAGCATAAAATGCGGTCATGCGCATTATTACACAACATTCTTTCACGGTTCATAACGGGAATGCGCACAAGCCGTATGACGTCAGATGTGACGTCAAGAAAATTATTTTGCTGCTTCATGTAGTTCATCATTTTTGTCAATTTTCCTTCTATTAGCAAGTAAGAATGGAAATAACTATCAATGTTTCTTGCGTTGAAGTACACTTATGAATGATATATATCATTCATGTGCTTTGTAATATATCACCAAGGCCTACAAACTTTGACTATTGTACATTCAAACATACTATTACAAAACAATAAAAATAAATAGTTTGAAACTAAACTATTACCGGGTTTATATTTTACACCTGAATCCTCGTCATAATCCTTTGTGGTGACTGTATGCTCGTAGTTACGATTTAATGGAGTTTTATCGGAAATGACGTCACCATTCCGAGCGTGACCATTCGATGCATGTATGTGACCATTTGTATATTTCGCATTGAAAGTTCCATACATGTCATTGCTTGGCTGTAAAGTAAACTTATTAAAGCTATATTTCCATAGTACATAGTTAGTTTTATCAATATTTTCAGACATACTGCAATATGAAACAATCCAATTTGAAAATCATTCCCTAAATAGAATATGCTTTGTAAAATGTCATACTTAGTCTAGAACTTTATGGAAAATATTTAACGGTTAACTTAATATCAAACTTTGTGTTACATTTTAACGAACAATAATTGAATTATAATATGATCAGACTGATACCTCTACGTTGTAATTCTGGGAGATGTAAGGCAGCAAGATTTGGATGACCAGGTCATATATAGTCGCAATTACTATTATAGCAAGAAATATTGAGCACACTACGCTGAAAAGGGAAATAGCACAAGATGTCGAATGTTTCCTTTTTACCAATTTGTCTTTTGCTTCATATTTACAAACTAATACAATCATTTCTTAAAAAATGTGGAAACAAAGAGATCCCTCGGGAGCATTAATCACAACAAAATTACATGAAAATTGCAGACTCGGTATGATTGAGTCTGTACATGAAGGATAATGATTAAGTGCAACATGCCTCACGCTCCCTAGCACCGGCTTGTGCGGTACTCAATGCTCAACACTTAATAGTGTTGGCATCAATGATCCCGTAGGACTATTACAAATGATTTCTATACTACACATAAGAAAGCTTATAATACACCCTATATTGACATTTAATGTTATAATATGTGTAATATAGAGTATACAAATTTTCAAGGCATTATATTGCCATCATTTGGAAAATATCTCGAAACAAACCCTTTCCAATAATCATAGTTTGTAATTATAGGTATTCTAAGCCATATAAAGACTGGCAACAATGTGCTTTTACTTAATGGGTGTTAGAATATTTCGAGCCACATCCTAGCTCATTTATTATAACATTCTTTACAAAAAAGTTCATATCTAAGACACTTATAGTCAAATACCAGCCAACCCACACATATTAAACGAACCAAAGCCGAATTGATACATATGTAGTATATAAACTGTATAGTCCAAATGAAATGAAAAAAGAAAAATTACATAACAGCAATTGCTTTGTCACTGTATTCCAGATCTTTCTCTTGACATTGTACATATGGGTATGGAACCGTGGTGTTGAGTGGGAGTGAGCTAGCCACTGAAAATAAAAGAAAGTAGATTTGCAATGTTGATTTTCAAACTTATATTATTGATTAATTAATATGCTTTATAAAGTATTACACAGAGTGAGAGTGAACTAGTCCCTATTTTATTTAAACTCTTCTTACCACAAATAAATAACATTATTTAATCATTTAAATACACTGTACAAAGTTTAACAAAGAAAACTTAAGCTGGTTGTTTGTTTGACGTAACTACAAAAATGAAACATCATATTTATTTTTAAATAATTGTCCTTTGGTCACTTAAGCACAAAATCGAAGGTGTCTAGTAAGTTAATAATAAACTGCTTAACAGCCTGCAGAGGAATGATACTAAGTAGCTTATTGTCTCCGGATCGGAGGATTATACACCAACACATTCAGGCATTTCCCTCGTGAAACCATCTTTACTCTTGGCTAGTAGTGGAAACAAGATCAAAATATATATCGAAGGGGATGGGTGTACTGTTGGCTAAAGTAAGATCTTACGTGTATAAGCTAGAGCTGCTGTATCGGCGGTTGAACAAGAATCAGGAAAACACATTCCTATGGCAAGACTCAGACCTGAAGGCTGGAGCGATGATGCCGACTAAAACAAAACGATAAAAAATAAAAGTTTTACTTAGTTATTTTTGTTGTTTTTATTCTTATGATATAAAATGTAGCCTTTTAGCAATGTTATTGTATTACATAAAAATATTAGAAAATTATTTTAGGCTAGCGTGTAAAATGTATGTTTCCTAGCACATAATAATGACTGAACCAAATTTTGTTATTTTCATTAGTGAGGACAAGAAATATTTTGTTGAATACTGGTCTACTATATACCTGGGCGCCCCCTAGCGGAAAGTAAGCGAGGCAGTATTTTCCATTAAAAGGGTTACTCGGTCCTTGGTCGTCATTGACGACAGCCTGTACCGCTATACATTCTTCATAGCTTCCCAACCATCGTAGATGTAAATCTAGCAAATCACTCGACGGTTTACCGAGAGAATCTAACACTGTAAATAACAAAAAAAAATATATGAGCCGTGTCATGGCAAAACCAACATAATGGGTTTGCGACCAACATTGATCCAGACCAGCCTGCGCATCCGCGCAGTCTGATCAGGATGCATGCTGTTCGTTAACCAACTTTATTACAAGTAGAGGAACTGATAGCGAACAGCACGTATCCTGATCAGAATGCGCGGATGCGCAGGCTGGTCTGGATCCATGCTGGTCGCAAACCCATTATGTTGGTTTTGTCAAGGCGCGGCTCAAATAGTTTTGAAGTTCTTAATCACCTTTACATTGTTAGTTTGAGTTGTTTAGGAAGACGGTATTTAAGATTCAAAACGCTTGAATTCTAAACAGAACATATAGCCTTATATTGCATGCACATTACTTAAAGTGTGCCCCGCACATAGGACTTAGATTTGCCAAAACAAAACATAATTATATTATATTTTTTGCTTTCCATGCGTCATAAAGCAATAACGTATTGTGAATTAGTAATGTATTGCATGTAACTGTTTCAGTGATTGAATATCAAGTGTCGATAAATCAACAGCTCTGTGTGATTTAGAAAAAAATCAGGCTTACCAAAGGACACAGGACTGATAAGTTTGATTTAAATACAAAGATTGATAGCAAAACATGTTTATATAAAGAATATGAGCCGCGTCTTGACAAAACCAACATAATGGGGTTTCGACCAGCATGGATCCAGACCAGCCTGCGCATCCGCGCAGTCTGATCAGGATCCATGCTGATCGCTATCAGTTTCTCTACTTGTTATAGAGTTGTAAGCGAACAGCAGGGAACCTGATCAGACTGCGCAGGCTGGTCTGGATCCATATTGGTCGCAAACCTATTATGTTGGTTTTGTCGTGACGCAGCTCAATTATGTTTTAGTTTGGTCCTTCACACGATAACAATATTGACATAAGCAAAGTAGCCTAAGATTTAAGATGTGTTTTAATGCGTATGTCCCATTTTATACTATGACAAAAATGTGCTAGATTTGGACCTCGTGATTTCTGACCTTTTTGCGATTATACATGATAGTCGCTGATAAATATCATGAAAAATATGAGTCATAGGTGAAAATTTAGTTTGTCGGTGTGTTTTGATAGAAGAGATGTCAAATTAGTATTTACATAATTATGTTCATTACTTTTATATAAACATGCTGATCCGAAAAATGAAATATTCAACACTGATACTTCAAAATATATATTTGCGTCAGATTATGTTTTAAACTTGAAATTAAAAGTAAAGATAATGATAATTAAAATTTAAATTTAATTAAAGGTTAAAATAACCAAATTATACCGGTTAAACGAACCAAATAATACCGACACGCACTTAATTTGAAAAAAATGTAATAACATATACATCAGGTTTGACCAAAATCCTGTCGAACTTGTTAATTTTAACGGGTACGGTTTGAATTTGGAAAAGTCCAATCACTCTTAATGGAATTTAAAATCTATATATACTAACAATATTTCCAATGCTCTACACTGGTGGTTTTTGGTTCGAGATTACCAAAGTTAAAAGAACCAACGAATCCCGACACACACGTTATAATGGTACATAAAGTCAAAGATTCACGATATTTCAATAAAGATTTTGCGATAAAAGCAAGAAAAAATATCAGACATTGTAAGATTTAAAGATATACTATGCTCAAAATATTTGATAAATGCAATTCGATCCATTTGTAAATAAGAAATAAACATGTTTTGACTGTATGTTACATATGTTTAAAAGTCTACAGGCTATAGGTGGTCTCAATATGAATTTATAGTTTCATTTAAAAAAATGGCAGTTTTTTTTAAAGTAAAGTGTCAAACTTTACTTGAACTGTATTAGGGAACGCAGCTTCCCATACATAGTGTATACACTTTTTTATTCAAATAAGACATATTCAGTCAGAATTTCTTAAACTTCAATAGATTTCTGAGATTAAAATATTTAACTCAATGATGAGAATAGTATATCTTTAAAAGTACTTACTTCGTTGGGCCCATTTTTCACCACTTAAAGTTGCATTGATAAGAATCTTCGTGTGATTTAGACAAGTCCCTCCAACTTCATAAGGACTGGCACCTAATCCAGAATTTGACAGGAGGTTCTCCGCATCGTCAGTTACGCTAAATTCGTTATACACATGTTTAAGTTTTGTTAACATACCCGTTTCAGATTCAAATTTTTCAGTCTCTTTATCACGTGTCTTTGACTGTGTAATTTCCGTCATAAAGTCTCCAAATCTTTGGCAGGAGCACAAACAAACCGAACACACAAGAATGCATAAAATCTGCTTCATTTTTTAAAAATAATTTACACTGTATTATTTTATTTATTTTATATTTCAAAGTTGTCAAACGAAACTATATTGTTTAATTCACTGTGTCGTGTTTTGATGTTTTATAACAAATGTATGTTACGCGTTCTACTTTTATGAAACCACTTGTTTGGTCATAAAATAGGCCCCTGTACTTTCAGTGAAATATGATGACAAAGTGGCTGTTTATTTAGTCATTATGAAACACTATATAGATTAAAAGGGATGTGATAGGATACAAAGATAATTTGGTTTTAAATTTAGATCATCTCATGATGAAGTTGAATGATCGGAGATGATAACTAATGATAATTGTTTTCATGCGTATTTTGTACACTCACTTTGTCTGCAGTTTGTAGGTTTGTTAGAGATTTGTCAGTCATTTTATAAATATCTAAGCCAGGAAAAATAAGTTTGCGTACCCATTTTTAAGCTTACAGAATATACTTTTAAAGTAAATATTATAACATTGATCATAACTCAAAGATCTAATGAATATCAAAATTTACTTTTATATTAATAACTTCTTGTTTGTTTAACCATTACAGCTGTCTGTCGTTTTGCGATTCGCTATCACAGACTCAGGCTTTAATTTGTGTTTCTTCTTACCAACGTATTCATACATGTACATTTTGGAATATGATATACATATGTAGTATCAAAGATGATATGAAATTGTATACACTTAAAATCTGACATATTCACATCTAATTATAGACTTTGGTATGTTTGTCCTGCAGAACCATTCTTTCCTGGAACAAGTGGTCCGCCCAATACGTTGTTTCAAGTGTCTACCTGTACCAAAGGGCACATGTGTATTCATATTCAATGGAGAAGGAATGATGCTGTCTAAGCAGTGCCGAGGCATATCTCTGTTAATAAAACTACTGTGATCATCTGTTGTTCAGCCAATAAAACACCTTTGATCTTTTGTTGTTGTGTCTGTGTTTTTTTCTTCAAATTTTTAAAGCCCTGATTACCCTGATAAAATTTAACCAAAATGATCATTTAACACTACAATATATAAACATCACGGTAATATCATGAAGGTATATTTCGTTATACTTATTGACCTTTTCTGATTACAAACTTATCAAGATACAAATACACAAAACCTATTTTAGAGCTAGTTTTTAAACCAAAAATATAATCAGAAAAAATAAGAATCCAAAATGAACCTTTAATAGTCTTTCCAATGCACTTATGTATTAAAGCAGGCGTTTTATTTTGTCTAACAACATCTAAAACTGAATACACTGTGACACACTGCAAGCATCATTTTTAGTATACAGATAAGACACGGAAGACACGAGACGCTGTTGTTAATAAGTTGGTATTAGAATGCTAAAAAAGAGAGAAAAACAGAATCCCTAAAGGACGCACAAAACGACAGAATTAATAATGTTGCAGGCTCGTTGCTCGGTTTGAGTGAGTCTGTTCATTGAAGGAACTGGAAAATGCAAGTTACCTTCCACGCCCTCTAGCACCGAATTTAGCAGATTTCAACTTTTAAACACGAAAATGGTGATTTTTTTTATTTAGAACATCCTCACATGTCGCAGTTGTGACTCTTGACGAAAAATAGGTTAGGGTTGATAGGTGTGACTTAAATATTCTTTATCTAAACGATCCTTTTCTCTGGCAGTCGATACAATAAAATTGATTATATTTGAAAAATAAAGAACCTTTAAATCTGCCTGTTCTTAAGCTCTTGTTCAAGGATAAATCAACAATATAGGACATTTTCGAGTCAAGTCACTGTTTATCATTGCACATTAGTTATTTCAATTTACGAAATTCTCCAGTATACCGTATTTATTCGAAAGACACTCTGAAATGTTATCATATACCAGTTAAAGTGATGTGCTACATTATAACCGTAAATTGTATTTACATAGCGGTTTAATTGATTAAAACGAAATTAACCTTAATCTATAATATACAGTAAGATAACAGTGATACAGTTTTAAGGGTCATTCATATGCTGATCGGTTGAATGGATTTTACGTCGCACAAATACAATAGAGGTCACACGGCGTCTTTTAAGCTTTACTGGTGGAGGAAGATCTCAGTTGCCTGTCCGTGCATTTATTTAACTGGTGTTGTTGTTGTTGTAGAAATAGAAATAACATTTTACCATGTTGATATTAGACCTTTACACGATTAATAAAGACATAGACGTTCGTTATATTTGTTGACCTGACCTTGATAAGAGTGTTGGTGTATGTAACCTTATCGATATTAAAGCTACATGCCAAAATATTTCACTAAAATCAAAGTTGAAAAAAAATGCTATGCGGTTTTAGGACAAGTAAAACATTTAAGATTCAAATAATAAAGTACGTGTTATTTGTGATTAATGACTGTCTTTTTTGGGGGGAGGGAGATGGGGGTTGGGTTTAGTATTTATAACTATAATATTTCTTTTGCGCAACTTACGCAGTAAGGGCTATCTTTGTCTATTTTGAACTCTTTGGTAGTTTACATGGGTTGCAAGTGTCAATAATAATATGAGCCACGTCATGACAAAACCAACATAATGGGTTTGCGACCAGCATGGATCCAGACCAGACTGCGCATTATCTGTTATCTATATTAAAGCCCCTGAGTTAATGCACGGAAGTGGCACCTAAGGTCTTCATCCACCAGCAAAACTGCTGACTTAACAGTGCTGATGTGACTTAAACTCAACCAATATACCAATTAAGTATTATATTTATAAATAACACTGAATTTTAGAAATTATTGACAAAGGTATGACGCCTATAGATATATGTTATATTCGGTCAAATTGTCCCTGATAACACAATACGGTTCCTTGAGATTATGATTTGTTGATCTATGTCGTGGCGACGCTCATTTGATTTGTAAGATATACGGAAAGTAACGAGCTATGACGATAGGTTCCGTATGTTTACCATTTACTATTAGTAAAATAGTATAAAGCTTATGAGCTTGAGAAGTAGGTAGAGGCGGGGACGTAGGTTACAGGATTTGGTAAAGGCGGAAAAAATATCATTCACCATTTGTAAAAACGCACTTACTTATATATTTTCATTTATAAAGAAATCAGTTATTTGTTGAAATGAAATTGTAGCGACAAATATTTAAACAAACCGAAGGAAATCGAACCATTAGCCTTTGAGTTACCAAATAGTTTAGGAAACCTTAAAATAGACCTAAAATATACTCTTCAAAATGTCGAAGAAGATATTCCCCGTGTACTTACAAAGCCAAAGAAGTAAACATTAGTTTTTCAATTTAAAAAGTCATCAACAAAGATCATCAATTACTTCTTTCAAAAATCATAGAGGATCATGAAGATTTTATCAAAATTCACATGGACACCTCAGAGAATGGTTGTATTATAAGTGACACCGGCTTTGAAAAATATTTAACATGCATCTGTATTTACAATAGAATCCATGTTTCGGCTCCGTTATCAATGCTTGTTGATTATCTTTGCTTAAAGGTCGGAAACATTTTGAGCAACTGATTGGCAGTTTGTACTCGTTCACTTTCTTAGTCATCTGTTAATATATGGAGCATTGAACTGGTGGAAAATTCTCGGACTTAAAATACGCTTCAAAATAATATGCGACTGCGATTACGATATGCCAAAAGCATTGCATATCACTAATCGTGTATCTTCCTCATAAGATTCCTTATCAGACCAAGAAATTTACTCCAATTAGTATTCTGTTTATAGAATGACTGAGCGTTCTCAACCAACCATTTTATAACAGCTGTCAACGATTGGCTCTATCAAATATGCGATTAGTTTAAAGCTGTGTTTAGCTGAAGGCCCGTGTTTATAAAAACGTGAGGAGCTATTCCTACATATCAACATACACGAAATCGTACGGAAGCCCATTGAGGCCGTGTTGAGTTAGAAGTTAGAACTTAGATGTTAGATCTTAGAACTTAGGTCTTATATCTTAGAACTAGAGGTCCCATAAAGACGGGAAAACGCCATATTGAATGCAAAATAGACATGAAGATGTATGTGAGGTAAACTTCTAATTATATTTCTTTAATTTTATATTTTGTTTTTAAGAATTGCAGAGATATATCTATTATGCTCATCGAAGATTTTTTTGGTAGCCTGGCTCGGCTAAAATTGCTAGAACTGGCTAAAATAGCTATTTATGGAGTTAATTTGTACCAGGTTGTTGAAGATAGATTTGTCGACTTTTGTCTCCTGTTGAAATTGGTTGTTTTTTAACCCGGTCCTTATATATATTATATAATAACTTAATCTTTTAACGTTCTAGCTATATCTCTGCAATTGTTTAAATTAAAAAAGAATTAAAGAAATATAATAAAATGTTTATCTCATTTACATCTTTTTGTCTATCGTGCAGTAGATATGGCGTTTTCCCGCCTATACGGAACCTCTAAGTTCTAAGAGCTTAGTTCTAAGATCTAATTTCTAAGATCTAACTTCTAACTCAAAACGGCCTCAATGGGCTTCCGTAAAATCGTGCAAAGTGTTATACATTAAACATTACATATCGAACAACCCTCGTATATTCCATACAGAATAAGTATACTAGTAATCGATACAGTTCTCATTTTAAATTGATCTTCTTATCTCCCAATGTGCTTCTTTTTAACCCTTGTTATCAGAAACAATTTTAATGACAAATATTTGAACTAAATGTACTAATCATTTCGTAACACATCCACATTGTATGATAAAATATGTATGACATCTTTATGATAATAAGAATATATATATTTCATCATGTTTCAAAGATTTTTAAAAAGAAATAAATGACCGAAGCTTTCAAAAACTGTACTACATTTGTAAGAAAACAGTGTGCTTATTTGGTAAAGAAAATAAGTACACTTATGTTAGTAACCCTTTGATGGTGTCATATCTAAAATTAGGCGTGCCCTTGCTTCAATGACATAGAATTTACCCCGTTTTATATATTGATAGCTACGACCTTTACAGTGATGATCATGAACAAAAATATTTCACCACCATCTCTTTATTTGGTATCATATTTAGTTGAGGTAAACTGTTAAAACTCATAACCTTTAAAGGACACGGTTTTAAGCTTAACTAATAATACGCATGCGCGCACACTTGCAATAACATCATTTATAGAAGCTTAATTTTTTGACTGTTCTGTTTGTTTACATAAATTAACTGATCTTCTGTTATCTTTAGGTGCCTACAAAAAGTAAATATGTCCCATGTGCTGTTGTTTTTGTTGTTTGGCTTGTTTTTGTTGTTGTTGATATTGTTTTTGTTGCTGTTGTTGTTTTTGTTGCTGCTGCTGCTGTAATTCCATTACAAATTTGTATTTGTGTTTATAATTGAAAAAAATCCAATTTTTATCCATTTGTCAAGTTTCTGAAGCTGAACATCATAAAGTATATATATTGTTGTATTTGACTACATAAGAAAACTTCATCATTGAAATATTTAATTTTACAAGTTATTTTAAAAGTATTGTTTATATATTGACAAAATGTCATCAAATTCCATGACGTTAAATCTGTTAAAATCTAAATGCAATATATGTTGTTGTGTTGTTTATTGTTGTTGTTCCCTTTTTCAAGGGGAGGGGTTGGGGGGAGGGAGGTTATAAAAAAAGAATTCTTAAAGAACGTCCAAAACAACGCAACTAAAAATGTTGCAAACTCATTTCATTTTGTTTATGCCTGCTCCTGGCCTCTACTTGAAAGTGCAAGGTATTCTCAACGCCCAGTAGCACCTGATTAAGCAAAATTCAACCTAATTATAATATCGAGTTAAAAAACATCCGCAAATGTGATCATTAAACTTCAATTTAACGTGTAAGTGTCATTCAAAAAGCGGCGTTTGGTCCCTTTATGTATAAGTGCGTGTACATTTAACGAGATATCAATCTTATTCTATATAATCTGTGGTTATCCAGAGCACAGCACATTTGCTGTATTGTATTGCTTATAACTGCGCAATAGATAAAGCTTGCGCAAAACATCTGAATCGATAAACCTTGTCCAACTTACCTTAGATATTTAATTTTGATTAAATAATTTGAAATGCTCATACAATTTTTATCTTTTTAATGTGGAACATTTAAAGCAGGTGACATCAGTGTATACTTTGAAAATTTGAAAAATTACACATTGGATAACCTTATCTAGATAGCAAACAGTCCTCATTTTGAAAGTCTGTTATCACGAAGACCCTTTTGTCGTACTTACAGTGTCTTGCTCATTTGATAAATGTTAACAAAAATATATATGATTTCATTGAACATCCATATTTGGCCCAAAAAACCCGTTTGTTATCTTAAATTACCTATTGGCACGTTGTAAATACTTTTTGGTTTCAAATGCTGCTTTGTGTAATGTATACTTATTATTACTGTCTTAAAAAACACACTTTCATAAGTAAGTGGAAAAATTAAGGCAAATGAAAGAATTTTTGCTACTTAGTTAAGTTTTATTGCGTTTGATTTTACCTTGTTTTTAGTTTTTTTAAAATTTAAGGTTAAGAAAACCCCTCAAGTATTTGGAAAATGTCGACAAAATTTCAAAGTTTCTGATAAAGGAGGGAAAATTTTTCTGCATAAGTTTTTTTCTACGACTCACGTTCCCTACTAATGTGGAACCAGTTTTATTTAAGTTTGAAAAAAAAATTCCCTTTTTCAATACTTTTAAGTTTTGCTGGGAAAATTTTAAATAACTCTACAATTTTAGGTACGCGATTAAATTTTGTTGGACACGCATTTTTCTCCAATTGCACTTTTTGTCAGTGAAGGGTTTTTAAAAAGAAAAAAGCATTTATTTTAAGAACTGCTCCGGACAATATTGCAACAGATGCAAGGACGCACGGTCGGAGACCTTTTTAATATCTACGGGGATAAATGTCTACACCAGTCTGGCAGTAGTTTCATTTTCTATTTTCCATTGACTGCAGGGTGCATCAACACTTGCTTATATATCTGCGTTCATAGGCTTAATTTAGAGTTTTAAAAGCTGTTGAAAAGTTAAAGTCAAAAAATCATGGTTGTGTCTTAAACTGCGTCATGCTGTGCTTCAACATTATATGAACTAAAAGTATATTTTATTTTGCATAACATTTTATTTTAAAGCCACACATCATTGAGGTTTCATTAAGTTTAATAATCAGGTCATGTACAATGTAAGTTGAGAAATATATTAAATAGAGGATATTGAATGAATGTAAGTTTAATACTGAATTTATTGAACGAGTTGAATAAAATTATATTATGCGAGCCTCTGGCAAGCATGACATTGTTTTATTCAACGAGTTTAATAATCTAAGTAATGAACTAACACGAATTTAATAATCTATTTATCACATACCAAAAATAAAGACCGTTTGAAATGATAAAGTGACATTTTTCATTGACACACCTTTAGAATAACGCTAATATTTAGCGCGTTTTAACGCTATGTTTATGTAACGCAAATGACGTCACGTCAAAATATATGCACCGCCGTGTAATAGCATTTTACGCAGTCGCAAAATCGGCACGGGTATGCAGTAAACAACTTTACGGTCTGATTTTAATTAAAAAAATATTTCAAAATCAAAGCTCTCACATAGGAAAACGACTTGAGCTGGAAAATGACCTATTGTGTATAAATTGTGCAACATCATGTAAATAGGCATATCTTTATTCAACATTAATATACTGAATATACCGCATGTAGTTTGTTTAACTGCAGCTTATAAACACATGGCATGCTTAGAAACATTGGAATGGGTTTTCGATACGTATATGTGGACTGGTTAAAAATACGATATATGTAAGTTCATTGAACTACCATTCCCTATCGCATTTTGTTATATAAATTGAAGTTTATTCATTATTACCCAACTTGTTTTAAGATTATAAATAATAAATCCGCAATTAAAAGGTAATGTAACTTAAATTAAATCAGAAACAATTCTTTTTTTGGTGTACGTTGTGTAACATACACGACAGTGTTGGAGACTACATTTTACTAAGAGATATTTGAGTTGCTCATCAGCCCTCGATAAGCCCCACTGATAATGTGCAGGTGACCCACTAATACTTAAATGAAATGCTGTTACAAAATTCGCCAGTGATACTAAAGCGTCATCGGCACAACTTTCATTGAGCCAGTTTAAATATTCACTGAACAATAATTTTATTGTGGAACAAAAACAAAATGCATGCTGCAAAGTGGTTTAATATTTTAGCCTTGTTGCAAGTCGGTTTTGCTCAAGACTTGGATGTAGGCTACTTGAAAATTTTACAAGACGGCTTAATAAATGTCGGAACTATGCAACAAGGTGGAATTCCTGGTGCAAATATTTTATCATTAATTGGACCTCTTTTACAGCAAAACCAAGATTTGATAATAAATTATGCCTCGGATACATTAACTGAGAGTTTGGATGAGGCGTCGAGGAACTATACAAGTGCTCTCTGTCTAAACCATACAGAACTGTTTATCAAGGCATTGTTCCGCCGAGAGAACTGGGCACTCAGAAGTATGTATCAAATTTTCCATGTCTCTATTTGTATTTGTTTATTGAATTTATCATTATGTAAATTTTCATCTAACGCAGCACGCTTCAAGATTCATGCTATTTTTCATGAAAATTTTGAAAATGTGTTTAAAGTTAAATATTTCAAGCTAACGAAGAAAATAATTTTCACATGGCAAACAGCGTTAACAATTAATGTAACATTGCCAAAAAGAGGTCAAAATATGCAAAAATAAGCCAAACTGAGTTAGTAACGCAGTCGAAATATGGTGAAAAATACTGCGAAAATTTTGGTTTTTTTTTTGAACAAAAACAGGAAAATTTTTAATGTTTTAAATTTAATGTGTTTTTGTTTCTTAAAAATCAAACTTTAAAAGTTAAAAAGAAAGTTGGTTTTTTAAAAACTAATTTTTTTTTTGATTTTAAACAAATCTATCAATTCTTAAAACAAAGTAAAAATTGAATATAAATGATTCGTGGTCAAGCCTTTTACAATTTGGGGGGGAAACCCTTCCCCTTTAAATTTGGGTCTTTAAAAATTTTTAGTATGTGAAAAATTCATAGACCCGGGGAGAAAAATATTAAATAGTTTATACTTAAATTACTTTCAATTTTTAGATATATGTTTAAGATGAATGAAGAAGTTCAACATTATCAGATATTTTAATTGTTTCAGTGATTGATGCCTTTGGCAAACCTGGTCCTGGGTTAATGGACTACAGTCTAAAGTTTGTGGGAAATTTTGATGAATGCATCGCCATACAAGCCGACAGGTACACTGACCCAGCTAAAAAGCAAGGACTAGATCACCCATACACCGGGAAGTATTGTACTGGACATGTGCAGTTATCAAAAGATGTACGTTTACGTGCATTTAACCATTTTGCACGAATTTGTGCGACGCAGATATCCTACTTTAAAAAAGCCAACACAATCTTAAAAACTATCAACATATTATTTAACGCACGAGACTGTTGTAAGTAAACATGATCAAAATATAATGCTGCTATTTTAAGAAAGGTTTTATCGTTTGACAATTATTCTGTGCATTCGCATTTTACTCATATTAACATATTTTGTTTAATTGAACAATTTGAAAATAATTTTAAAATTTCAGTCTTCTGGGGTTGACGGGGTCCGCTGGAAGCTTCAATTGGCATTGTGTTACCGGATTCTGATTCTAAACGCCGATCCCGGATTACACTTATGAATATAGGTCTGACTCTTTTATTAATTTGAATTTCCAATAAGATACACGGTTTGTATGTAACAATAACAATCATTATAACTTATTAACGCGTGCACAGGCAATATTTCTTCTAGCGTTCTTATTTATTGCAATGAGTATTATGCTGATTCTAATAAACTGTTGCCTGCCAATCATTCTGTGAAGCAAAAATGTATTGATTAAATGGTATCATTTTTTTACGTTCATTTAGATTTCCAATAAAATGCAATAGAGCGAATTTTAAAATGGTCATTGATCATTAATGGGTTAATGTGAGGAATAACATTACTGAAAATTACAGAACCAGATTGACAACTATTTAGAATTTATAATTACACTGAGTCTCTTTGTGGTTTATGTTGAAAATTCTTGTGGAATTTGAATAATGATTCAAGAACAATATACCCTACTGTAATTTCGGGTTATTATAAACTGTAGAAAGCAAACAATCTCTTGACATCACGAATAAATACCTAAATTTAATATATACGTCCTTTAACCCTACCTAAGTTTTAACTCTAATAGTATTTTAATTCACTAACATGTTAAAGTGACATTGTTTATATTTAATCTATTTTTTATTTGTAGTAATGTTATTGTTTGTATCTCTTTGATTAACAGTGGCTTTAAAACTATTCAAAAACATGTCATTGCCAACTATTTATGCGACCTGTCAAGAAAAATCTATCGAGTTTACAGATAAAGCCCTTGCAGTCAGGTATGTGAACGTTATCTCAATAATTTATCTTCATGTAATAGAAAACATTTATTTTGATATGTTTATTACTTAAAGAACCCGTAACTCAATTTGTTGTGTCTTTTTATCCTCCTGTGCTCCTTGCCACTATATATTGTTGCTGGGATTGGGATTGCGTTCATTGAACGCCGCCTTTCCAACTTGATATTGTTTATCATAATTCATTTTATTTTGTAAAGATAATACGGAATTAACATTTCATAAAGGGAGGTAATTAAAAAATTATTTCTATGAAGTCTTAGTCAATTTTTTCAATAAAAAATGGATGCATGTATTTAAATGATACATAATTATAAAGCGAATAAATATTTGCAGTACATATCTTAATATATTCTTGGATATTTGCAAATTGTTTTAGAAGCATGATTATATTTATATATAAAATTTCACTTTAAAAGCGTTCTTATATCCTTAATTACACCATACAGGATCTTTAAAGTGGTTTTAAGCCCATCCAAACAAAAATGGTCAGAGTTCAGGTTACATCAAAGTAACGATCTATTTTGTCACATTTGTTTTCAATATTATCCTAAACGTCACTTAAGTAATTTTTAACTCTCGTGACCCAAAAAAATCTATAAATTTGTTTTCGAATAATATTGATAATTTTCAATATAAAAAAAATTGGGCAGTCTTTTTATATTTTAGGCATTTTTTAAAATATTTTTTTCCTAAACATGTGTGATTATCCTTCAATTATTGTTTAATCACCATCAAAATAGTCAATCTTTTTTAAAGATTTTGAAAAAGATATTTACTTTACAATGAATTGGGACAGAATGCAAGGTCTTAATATACACATATAAATAAGTATTTAGTATTTTTGACAACAAACCATAAATATCTAATCTGTGTTGTAATGTGATGTTTGTAAAGTGAGATACATGTTAGTTAGTTTTGGAACAAAATGTAAATATTCACCTATAAATGTTATTAACTACATAAAAACCTAGCTTTCATGAATAACCAAATGATACATTTATATGATTTTTTTTTATCAATATTTGAAATAATTCTGGTAAATGTGCCCATTTTAAACCAACCCACTCTAGGATGAAATAACTGTTGGTGTACTGGAAAACATTAAATGCAAATAATAAATTTGCTATTTTGACCATTTCATTGGTTTATTCTAAGTTTATCTTGAAATTTGAAAACCTTAGTGAATTGGAATAAAAGTGTTTACGCTTGCAGTTTGCATACATGTATTAATGATAAAGAACATAGCTTTACAATTATCATTTTTTAAGTCCGAATATAACATTTTATACAAGAAAAATATTTAATTAATTTATTTTGGAAATAAACTTGTTACTCTGATCATTGTTTGTTCATAAGATTACAAGTGCCTGGAACGCTTCACAATAGTAGAATGTGTTACATAAATGTTTTTTTTTTAATTTTGTGGTTATAAATAAATGGTGCGAAAGAAAAAGTCAATAAAATGAACATGATAATAAGAAAGATAAATATAATTTGTTATTTTACTGTCTACACATATGATTTATACCATTTCAGTATCGTCGGTGCAGTTTTCGCCGCTATAATTATCTTAGCTACAGCATATGACGTCATCATTCAACATTTTCTTCAAAAACAACCAAAACAATATGAAAAGGTAATTGTCCAGGGTCTGTTATTTTGCAGTAATTTGCTGTTTTAATTTCTTCCGAGTTATCTTCTTTTTTTCAAGATATTTCTTTTCACAAAACATTTACTAGGAACGGAATACCAATTAAATGTAAAAGCATATGAATATTATCAATAATCGGTCAAAACATTTACATCATCCACAGCCTAATAACTATTTACATAATGTTCCATTGAATGTATTTCTATAAAGACAGTGTTCATTATATTCTGCAAACGTGGTTATAATATCATCTCATTTTGTATTCAAGGAAAAATGCCAACTTACATATGCTAATGGTAAACATAACAATGCCTTCACTATCACTGATGAGAAAATATCAAACGGTGACAGTTTGAAAAATGGCGATGTTGCAAAGGACTTCAAGGACATTGAAAAGACGGTGCCTAATGTAATTAGTTTTGAGAAAACGTCGTATAAACCAGGTACATTGTATTATACTTTTTCCTAATTTTCTGAAAAATTGAAAGCATCTTCCAAAATTTCATCCGTGAAAAAGCATTCCATTGTCCAATTACATACATAATATATACTGAATGACTTTGATCGCATACTGTCATAACTGTTTTAAAACACTTTATTTTCTATTTCATTTCATATTTCAGACAAGAAAGTTTTTCGTTAATAACTCTATACAATATTTAAGTTCGATGAAATCGGATGAGAGATGAAAGCTGATTTGTAAAGCTCTCGAGCATTTTTCCTAACAACTAACAAGTACTTGTGACGCAGAAAGAAATACTGTCGTAAACTCAATAGAGCTTGAACCCACAACCTGTGGTTTAAGACACATAAACATTTACAGATAGGATTATTTTACCTTTATCATATTAACATTTTTTTTCGTATTACAGGTTTACTTGGAAAGCTTCTACTCTCTTTCTCTGTATATACAAACGCTCCTAAAATCCTCAACACGAGTCAACCTAAAGGAACGCTGACATGTGTGAATGGGATTCGCTTCATCAGCACGACCTGGGTCATCCTGGGTCATACATACGCATTTGGGTTCACAACGGCAGGTGTGAAAATTAATGTGGTTTATCCATGTTAACACATTTTATGCATCATTTTTACTTCTTTGCTGGAAAGTTCAATTAATGCCATTCTGTTCAATTTCTTGGAAAAAATCAGTTGCCTTCAATTCAAATTAGTATGCTTAACTGAACACGCTCTATTCAATAAGCCTATGCATTAATAATTAATTTTATACAAAAGACAAACAAGAATATTAACACCTTATGTTAAGCTTAAAATACAATCGTATGTGGCTATTTTAACAATTTGATCCATGTCAAAACTTAGAGTCAACAAGGTTTTTATACAATTTTGCAGATTTTAAATCAAAACTGAAGATACTTTTCATTATCGGAAACCTGAGCTCCGTTTTCTTTTTTACAGGAAACGTTGCAACGTATTTCCCAGCGCTGACAAAGCGATTTACCTTCCAAGCTATTCTGAACGCAACTGTTTCTGTAGACACATTCTTTGTCCTCAGGTAGATATAAAACACCATGTCCAATGCTTAGAATGAGGTCGCAAATAAAAATCATAACAACACAAGTGTTTGCACGCCTGATGATCAAATTATTCTCATTTGCCGCTTTTGAAAGACGATCGTAAAGTTTTTTTAACCAAACTACTTTTGTTTGTCTTTTTAAAAGTCGTTTTTGTTATATGTTATTTTCTTTAACTATGATTAGGCATTGAAATTACGGATCAATATCTATACAATGGTAAAGAAAAGGAAAGAATATATATTTTATTAGACTTAAACATTACAAGTTCATCGTCGTTAAACAGTAAGAAACAAACATTCATATACCTTGTACGACACAAAAAGAATACAGTCATATAGATCTAATAAATATTAAATAGTATTATGTTAACATACATTCAGTGATAATGTTACAAACAAATAAACTATAAGTTTCATGAAAATAAAAGGAAAATAAATATATATGATAAAAATGATAGATTGATAAGAAAATATCTATAATTATTTAATCGAATGTGCACACGCATAGTACATCATTTAAATTAATACTTGAACACAATGTGATGCTAAAATATATTTATTGCCAAAACATTTTTTCAGTGGCCTGTTGGTGTCTTATCTGTCATTAAAAGAATTGAAAAAGAGAGGAGGGGCGTTGAAGTTTAACTGGCTACTCTTTTACTTCCATAGATACTGGAGGTAAGTTTCATTAGTTATTAACTTGACAAAAGTTTAGTAGGTCTCTCACATACCTCAAGATATTTTAAACTGTTGATTATTCTTTCCTTAAGCACAAGTATTACATACAATACACGATTCAAATGATCATGTAAATATTAGTGTTTCATAATTTTTAAAAGTACTTCCTTGTCCCGTAACATTGAACGCCATCTACTTTATAACTATTTCTGTAATATATATATAAATTCGCCTATAGTTTTGAATACTTGCATCATTTTCTGTATAACAGATGTAGGCGTGCCAAACTGCCATCACCGTCTATGTTACTTTTGATGATGTACCTACTAACGTCTGGATAATGGTCAGACGGACTTGCTCGGCCACAACAAGGAATTGACGTTGATGAATATACTCTTATATCTGAATATGTTATATGAATCGACCATGTAGATGAATTTCGATTATTGTTAACAATTGCATGGATACTTTGTTTGCACTTTGTAAATGATTTTCCTTTGTCGTTGTCAGACTGACGCCGCCTTATATGCTTCTGTTGATGCTGTATGTACCTACATTTAAGTACTGGGCAAGTGGGCCTTTATGGCCTCAAAAAGGCATTGAAGTAGATGAATGTGAGGATCGCTGGTGGACAAATATGTTGTATATAAACAATCTTTACAAAGCGGACAGACAGGTAAGCGCCTGGCGCTATTCTTGATCAACATTACTATCCTGGTATATTAAATCTGTGTCTATAAAATAAGTTATATAAAATAAGCAACCTACCTTGGTAATAGTTTGTATTTGTGTTTAGAATGTGTAGTTAAACCTCTACATAAGTAGAGATAGAAAATAGCGCAAGGGCTGCTCTTCCACAATACCTGATGTCATTTATTTTAAGAAAAAGAGTTGCTGAGGGGGCATGGACGGTAACTTGCACTTTCGACCGTCCATGAACATGCTCAACCAAGCTGAGCCTGCAACATTTTCAATTTTGCCGTGTTGGGCTTCTTTTAGACGTTTTGTTTTTCTCTATTCTATTATTTTGAGCTGAACTTATTTAGTTCCAGATAGATACAGGTATCTCACGTTGATCTTCTCTGTTTCAGTGTATGGGATGGAGTTGGTATCTAGCGAATGACATGCAGTTTTATGTCATAAGCCCTCTGATGTTGATTCCGCTGTTTTAGTGAGTGTTTTAATTCATTGAAGCTTAACTAAGTCTATAATCCTTAAAACAAACTAACAAATTAAATCAAAAAGGTCTTTACTATGTATCAGAAAAAGGCGTTTTATATTATGACGCATAAGGTTTTCTGTACGCCCGTTCTTTAGCGATTTTGTGTCTATTCTATATCCTTTGAACTGATGAAAGGAGATTGAAACTGCTTGGCAGAAAAAAAAACTACATTGAAACAATATGCAGAGCGCACGTCTGGGTTTTCTCGGTAGAACTTGCTAATTATGTATAATGTTTAAAAAAGTGTGGCCACAATGTATATTTTTCAATTTGGAAGCAAACTTAAACTTACAGTCTTGGTTAAGCAAACATTGATAACGCTTTTTAACATTTGATAAATACATTATTAATGTTTTGTCTTTCTGAGTATTATGTTCACCGAAAATGTGATGTTTAAATTTTGTCTCACTCATTAATAACGCCAGTATTAATGTACATGTTTTATCTACAAATGTGTTTGTTAAAGAATTATTTACTGTAGTGTAGCAGTTTAACAACACAGTAACACAGTTTTCTTTTGTTTAGTTCCCCCGTTGCAGGAGCTGTGGTTTGTTTTGCACTCCTACTCGGAACATTCATCTGTTCTGGACTTGTAGCTAGCCATTATGACATTGCGGCAAATATGATGTTCAGGTTTGCTGACATTAATCAAACTTACTTAAATAAAGTTGAGTTACCTATAAAAACACAGAACTTAGTCAAAAGCTTTTTGTATATCTGTTTTCATAATAAATATATAAACGGTAACCGAAGAATGTTATTATATGATGGCTTTTGGTGTGTGTCTTTTATGCTCACAATAATTTCGTGACTTGATTATTCAGCATGTTACATTTTGTTTTACTAAACCAACAATTAGAAGGGCGTCCGTTGCCGTGTGTGGTTAAGGTCGAAGACAATAAACTACATTTGTACTTGTTTCTTACTATTATATGATCCAAACTCTCCAGGAGCTTTAAATTATTTCATGTGATGAAGCTATCAAGCTAGTTTACAGAACGTCGGTGGTTCTACGCAGTTGCCCGTACTTGTCTCACATAATTCACAGAAGGAAGTACATTTGAGATCTTTCGTCACCATAAAAACTACAAAGTTGCAGAGTTAAATCAAACCAACAAAGAGAAATTGAATCAAATAAAAATAACATATATGTCTAAAATTGAGCATCGTTTAGTCATTTTAAATATTGTATATGTTGCGACCCTAACATAGATGCTAGTTCAAACAAATTATACCACCACTCCGTGAACAATCAAAGGCTTTCGAAATCAAACTATGGCACCAGATAAACTAAACAAAAACAAAATAAATGATACCGCTATTTTCAATATATTTCACCGCATTGGCAAAAACAAGTCACTAAACATTATAACCCCATTATGTTCTTTTCGAAAACACATCAAATACCTTTTAAACAAAGCAAAGCAATTTCTATTTCAGTAAAGATGTCGGAGTGGCAATGGACAAAATGTATTATAAACCATGGACTCGTGTCGGACCATACATTGTGGGTTTCTTTCTGGGTTACATCTTGTACAAAACAGAATGCAAAGTGAAAATGTCAAAGGTTTGGTCTTTGTTTTGGAATAACAAATAGTAAAATTATTTTTGCTGAACTTGTTATTCAATAGTTTCAAGCCCTTGTGGCCGAGGGAGTGCGTTTAGTGGTTAACGCATCAATTGCAGCCATTGTTTATCCCTGTGTGATCGTAAGAGGCGACTAAATGGGTTCGAATTACTTTAGTCTATACTTCGTAGCTCCAGCAGGTAAAGTGGTTTTGACAACTGGTGTTGCTATAAATTTGTAACACCCAAATTTGCCAAAATCATCTCTCCTTTTGGCGCCATATGACCTAATTTGTGTTAATGCGCCGTAAAACAAAACAAAAGCCATGTTAACATGGCCATCCACCCCCCCCCCCCCGAATGTGTATTCTCATTGGAAGATGTATATGTAGCAGAGCAGGATGATACAATTTTAATAGGTCTCTCGGTAATGAAAACTTATGGTTGAAGAGATTACAGATTTGAAACCTATTGGAGTACTGATGGCTGAAAATAATAAGGGCAACAACCGAACAATTATGCAGGATGGGTTATTATTCTTGTGTGCTGTACTCCTCCTCAATGAGATCTATCTTCCTTTAAAGTTTCAAGTTGATACCTCTATAACACTTTTTGAGATAAGCTCCGGACAAAAAGTATGAAAATAACAAAGGACAATAACTCAAAAATTATAAAGGGTAGAGTTATCATTCTTGTTCACAGCATTCCTCCTCAATATGATAAATACCTATGATATGTTTCATGTTGACACCTTAAAGAATTTTTGAGTTATGCTCCACTAAGGTGAAAAATTAAGTATGAGAAATAAAGGCAATAACTCAAAAATTATGAAGGGTAGAGTTATCACTCTTGTACACTGAACACCTCCTGAGTGAGATCTATCCGCCTATCAAGTTTTATGTTGATATCTCAAAGGCTTTTTGAGTAATACTCTGGACAAAAATTAAGCATGAAAAATAACAAAAGGCAATAACTGAAAAATAATGCAGGGTATATTATCATACTTGTGCACTGCACTCCTCAATATGATCTATTCACCTATGACGTTTCAAGTTGATACCTCAAACATTTTTTTAGATAAGCTCCGGACAAAGTGATGAAAAATAACAAAGGACAATAACTCAAAATTAATAAAGGGTCAAGTTGTCATTCTTGCGCATAGAGCATTCCTCCTCAATAAGATGAATCCACCTATGAAATTTCATGTTGACATCTCAAAGACTTTTTGAGTTATGCTCGACTCAGGTGAAAACTTAGGTATGAAAAAACGGCAATAACTCAAAAGTTATGAAGGGTAGAGTTATCACGCTTGTGCACTGCACACTTCCTGAGTGAGATCTATCCGCCTACGAAGTTAAATGTTAATATCTCAAAGGCTTTTTTTAATTATGCTCTGAACAAAAATTAAGTTTGAAAAATAACAAAGGGCAATTACCGAAAAATTATGTATGGTAGAGTTATCATTCTTGTGCATTGCACTCCTCCTCAATATGATCTATCCAGTTGATACCTCAAATACTTTTTATATGCCCGAAAGAATTTCGAACATATTACGTAATACCCCCTGGCGTTCGTCCGTCTGTCCGTTAGCAATTTGGTTTCAGGAGCATAACTTAAGTTCCATTTGGCCAACAATATTCAAACTTCATAGGATGATTGTCCATATTAGGTAAAAGACCCCTATTGATTTTTGGGTCATAAGGTCAAAGGTCAAGGTCACTAAGACCTTAAAACTGAAAACAGTTTTTGGAGCATAACTTAAGTTCCATTTGGCCCAAAGTGTTCAAACTTCATAAAATGATTGTCCATATTGGGTAGAAGACTTCGTCTATTGATTTTGGGGTCACAAGGTCAAATGTCAAGGTCACTATGACCTTAAAACTGAAAACAGTTTTCGGAGCATTACTTTAGTTGCATTTGGCCCAGAGTGTTCAAACTTCATAGAATAATTGTTCATATTGGGTAGAAGACCCCTATTGATTTTGGGGTCACAAGGTCAAAGGTCAAGGCCACTATTAACTTAAAACTAAAAACAGTTTGCGGAGCATACTTAAGTTCTATTTGGCCCACAGTGTTCAAACTTCATAGGATGATTGTCCATATTAGGTAGAAGACCCCTATTGATTGATTTATGGGCCACAAGGTCAAAGTCACTATTACTTAGAAATTGAAAACAGTTTCTTGAGCATAACTTAAGTTCCATTTTGCCCACAATATTCAAACTTATAGGATGATTGTCCATATTGGGTAGAAGACTTCTATTGATGTTGGGATCACAAGGTCAAAGGTCAAGGCCACTATTAACTTAAAACTAAAAACAGTTACCGGAGCATAACGTAAGTTCTATTTGACCCACTGTGTTCAAACTTCATAGGATGATTGTCCATATTGGGTAGAAGACCCCTTTTAATTTTTGGGTCATAAGGTCAAAAGTCAAGGTCACTATTACCTTAAAACTAAAAACAGTTTTCGGAACATAAGTTAAGTATCATTTGGTCTTCTGTGTTTAAGCTTCATAGTTTGATTGTCCATATTAAGTAGAAGACCACAATATTGAAACTTCAAAGGAGGATTGTTATTTGAAGGAGGTAATAGTTTATTTAATTCCCATGTCTTACAAAATAATGCTTCATCTTTACTAAAAAAATCACTTTCGGGCATATAATGCTCCGCCTAGCGGTGCTCTTGTTGAGATTTGCTCCGGACAAAAATGTCGGACGAAGGACGGAGACCATTTCTATAACCACCATCGCCTTTCGGCGAGGAATAACAAGCATACAAAATCTATTATGAGATTATCGTGGAAGAATTATTAATTTATTTGTTACAAAGTTCTCCAACACCATGAAACGCCGATAAGGCATCATTTAAGTGTACAAACAGTGTGTGTCTTAAACAAAACAGGTTTATCACACCACGTACTAAAGACGTTTGTTTCTATAGATTGATCAGCCATACCGCATTTATTTCCTGAAATACATGTTGTATATAATTCCCTTACACTTCCTTACAGCTATTAAACTTGGTCGGATGGGCTGTAGCAACAGCTATGGCAGTCAGTGTGTTATATGGACTGTATACACCAGAGGGAAATCTACCAGACCTTTCTAAAGGCGTATCTGCCCTCTACAATGCTACGTCTAGAACTGCCTGGGGAATAAGTGTTGCATGGGTGATATTTGCATGTGCTACTGGATATGGGGGTATTTTTTTCTAGTTTTCTTTTTGAATTATATTTTTTATCAATGATTCTATTAATCATTATCTCCTTATCAAAATAATGAGAATTTTTGTTCGTCTTTTTAATTTTGGTTGATCAATACTTTGCATGAGTAAGTTTAATCCCCAAATACCTTTTAATCCAGTGTTACCCACTTTTGCTCGTTCAGGGCACACGAGTTATTTAACTGAGGGGACTATACGTCGATTTCCTGGAATAGCACTTACGTTTCACATTAATAGTTTCATGATTTTGGCCGTAATAAAACATCGGTGGATTTTTTTTTTATAAATTCGTTTATTTTACTGTTTTCTGTTTAATATTGAATTATGCTCCAGTCGCAGTAAGCGGGCGTAAACGACAGTTTGAATTTTCATGTGTGCTCCCGTACACCGTTAACTTAGAGTTGATGATATGCCTAGCTTTAATGAATATCAAATACATGATGTTGTTCATACAATACACACAGACATATTGCATTATTATAAAAGATTAATTGATAAACTATAAAATGTGGATTCTTCTTAAATTTATTTTTGCATTGCCTTTCAATTATACCAGTTAGATCTTGTTAGCAACTTTATTATAATAAAACTGATATTGTGATCGTTTCCCATATGAGCAAAGTGTATGGTTTGTACAAAAAAATTTTTTCTAGAGTATTTAATAATCACATTGTATATCATTTTAGGACCCGTCAATAGCCTGTTGTCATGGCGAGGAATTATCCCACTTAGTCGTCTCACATACTGTGCATATCTTGTACATCCTATTGTGATGTCCCTTTACTTTTTCAGTAGAAAAACTATGATGTACTGGTATGACCTCAATCTAGTAAGTTGAGTTTTAAGTTGTAGGCTGTTTAAGAAAATGATATATCCCAACAGTGATTTGAATTGCAAAATAAAATCACTGTTTAGAGATTGGATGCGTCGAATTATATCACGAAGGCGCAGCCTGAGTGATATAACGCTGCTTATCCGGACAACACACATTGACTGCATTGGATATATATTTTTTTTACGATTCTAACACGACAAAATAAACGACGCCGAGGCTGATCAAAGTGAAATGTGTCTGATTTGTTTTCGTATTTATTTTTTCTTTAATAACAATTTTTTTTGATTAAATGTAAACGTAAGGAACACATACAATTTTTTTTAAGAAAATGAATTTTCTTATTTGTATCACTTTAGGATTGAAAATAAATTCCATGAAGGAAATGTTACAGTTTTAATCGCAGTGTGTGCTTGTTTCTAATACATTGTTGAAAATAATTTTATATAAGTGGTACACATTCATTTGTTAATTTACATAACAAAGGAACTGTGTTTTTATTTTGTTGCTTTCTTTTTCTTTATTCAGATTTACCTTTTCCTGGGACATCTCTGTATATCGTATGCGGCAGCGTTTGTGATATCTTTGGCGTTTGAATCACCCATGATGGGATTAGAGAAAGTGCTGCTTGGGAGGAAGAAAAATAGTTAGATTTATCTCAGAATATGAAGGAGGCAAAAGTGTTGAATATAAGATTCACATGTATTACTGTCGGTCTAATATTATTGTATCAATCAATCAATCAATCAATCAATCAATATATATATATATATATATATATATATATATATATATATATATATATATATATATATATATATATATATATATATATATATATATATATATATATATATATATATATATATATATATATATATATATATATTACCATGCAACGAATCGCTTTTTCTATTGTTTTATATATGTGATTAAATGCTCTTTTTCAAAACTAACTATGACCCTTTTATATTTTTATCACAATCGTGGAACAATCAATATCTTGAAGAAGTGTGATCCTTTGGAAGTATTACTCACAACACTTATTTGGCTTATTGTAATTCATATTGTGAATTATGACCTTTAAGGAAAGCTGACATGTTAATAAAAAAAACATTGAAAAGTATATAAACATGGGTACTCTATCGAGAAGGCATCTGTCTTAGACTGCATTGTCGCAGGAAACATTCTTGACATTGTCATTAGTATGTAATTTGTGAATATTTGTAAATATAGCCAGTTAATTTTTAGAATTTGCAACTCAATTATGTGAATAGCCATGTGTTGTCAAAAGACACATTCATTGACGGTGAAAAGTATTATCGGCGATTACTTTTGCAAATAATTTGACTGAGTTTATTTTTTGTTTGTTTTTATATTTTTTTTTAACATTTCAAATTTATGTTACATTCATTAACATGTTTGTTTAGCAATCTTTTTACATTAAGCATAAAACACCCTATATGTGTTACCATGTAATATATCCCGTAGCACCATTTTGGAAATTTATATAATTTGATTAAAATTATTATAATATAATTGAAACAATCATTGTTATTGTTTATAAACCATCTGGATACAAGAATGTATTCAACACAATATTTTGTATGATTACCTTCAAATGTGATTTAAGTTAGTCAAACCTGTGCAGTACCATCCATGAACAGACTCAATCAAACTGAGCCTGTAACATTTTCAATTTTGCTGTGCTGGGCTTTCTTAAGGGATTCTTATTTTCTCTATTTTATTATAAACAGTTACTACGAAGACTGAAAATGATGCAGTTATGACCGGTAATCATATTTCACTTGTATCAAAAGAAAATACATTACCTTGTTAAATATCAACTAAGTAAGAGTGTTATGGAGTCAATGAAACCTGTGCTGCAGAAGGGTCTGCCCAGTTGACTTTGTTATGGAATGTGCTGTAATCATGGGCCTTGACTACCCAGTTTGCCAGACTGTAGTCAAAGCCATTGATTACAGCACGAGGGTCTTCCTTTGTAACATACCGTATGCAATTCTTTAGGTTTCGCATACGCTGTATGTCACACATTTCGACCCTCTTTGTCACTTTACTGTAAAACTGATCCTTGAACTCTTCAAAGGTCAGTTTGACTTTTGTTTTGAAAAGTCCATGGCAATGTGAGTACCCTTGGTTGGAGACCTCATTTCCAAAGGCATATGCCTCAATAAATGTGTCTTCCTCAGCAAGTTCTCTCTCCATCACCAATCAGACTCAAATTTATGCTTCTTATGCCCCTTCTGCCCCTCCTCTATAATATCTGCAAAACAAAATGAAACGAAATTAACCCAATGTACTCGCTTTAATCTATAATATACAGTAAGATAACAGTGAGACAATTTTAAGGGTCATTCATATGCTGATCGGTTGAATGGGTTTTACGTCGCACAAATACAATAGAGGTCACACGGCGTCTTTTAACCCATTACTTCATATACACGCCTTTTAACGCCTTTTTCACCCCCCCCCCCCTATTTGTTGTCTCAAATGATGAAAAAATGCCTTATTTAGGCCCCAAACACTTGTTTTTGCTTGAGAAATGTTGTTAAAAAAGTGACCTCTTTTTCGGCGCGGCCCCCAACCAAAAGATACATCAGGGGGTTGCCAGAAGGGGGGTGTGCCCCCTTCTTTTTGGGGGGTTTGAAGGTGGGCGGAGTCCCCCTCATCGCCAAGAAAATTTTGGACTTGTGAGAGGCTGTAAATGACCCCAGATTGATCATAAGGTAACGTGTAACCAACGCTGAAAAGCATTTGACTCTATCTCAATCCATTGAGAAGTTGCAGCACTTTGAAATCAATTTTGATGGAAAAAGTCAACGCAAAATAGTGATTTCTGGCAATTTTGAGATGTCCCCTCGTTGCCATGGTAACAGAAAATTTAAGCCTGAGCATGCTGTTGCAAGGGCAATGGTCCAGTCAACATTTGTGCCAAGTTTGATTAGTGTTGAAGCAGATTTTATAGTATTATAGCAATTTGAACTTGTAACGGGAGACTTTTCAATGAAAACAGCCATTTTTCACAAAATGCTCATAAAGCAATGGGTTAAGCTTTACTGGTGGAGGAAGATCTCAGTTTCCTGTCTGTGCATTTATTTAACTGGTGTTGTTGTTGTAGTAGAAATAGAAATAACATTTTACCATGTTAAAGTGTTAAATTAAGACCTTTACATGAATAATAAAGACATAGACGTTCGTTATATTTGTTGACCTGACCTTGATAAGAATGTCGGATTATTTTAAAACCTTATCGATATTAAAGCTACATGCCTCCAGATGAGCCAAAATATTTCACTAAAATCAAATTTGAAAAAAATGCTTTGAGATTTTACACATTTAGTAATTTTGTTTATATATTATTGTACACATCTAATCATATGTAAATATGCTGAGTGTTTCAATAAAACTTGAAACTTGAAACAAGTGAAACATTCAAGATTCAAATAATATTTTTTTCATTTTATTTGTGATTAATGACTGTCTTTTTTTCGGGGGCGGAGGGAGGGTGGTTTTTGGGTTAAGTATTTATAACTATTATATTTCTGTCGCGCAACTTACGCAGTAAGGGCTATCTTTGTCTATTTTGAACACTTTGGTAGTTTACGTGGGTTGCAAGTGTCAATAATATATTGCTTCCTTTTGGTTACTTCACAACATTAAACATTTTCAAAATTTTTATTAACAATTAGCATTTATCTGAAGGTATGTTGCTTTAACATATTTTACAACATGATCTTATTGCCACTGTTAAGTATGAGATAAATTAAATAGAATTCTTATTTTTTAATAAGTGTTATCTATATTAAAGCCCCTGATTAAATGCACGGAAAACTTAACAGTGTTGATGTGACTTAACCTCAACCAAAATACCAATTACGTATTATATTTATAAATAACACTGAATTTTATAAATGATTGACAAATATTCACCATTTGTAAAAAGGCATTTACTTTTATGTTTTCAGTTATGAAAAATCAGTTATTGGTTGAAACTAAATTGTAGCGACAAATGTTTAAACAAACCAAAGGAAATCGAACCATTAGTCCTTTGTGTAAAGAAAAAGTTGAGAAAACCTTAAAATAGACCCAAAATATACACTTGAGAATGTCGAAGAAGATATTCCTATGTGTACTTACAAAGCCGAAGAAGTAAAAATTAGTTTTTCAATTAAATAAGTCATCATAAAAAGTCATAAATTACTTCTTTCAAAATTCATAGAGGAACATGAAGATTTTTTAACAATTCACATGGACACCTCAGAGAATGGTTGTTAAATAAGTGACACCGTCTTTGAAAACTATTTAACATGCATCTGTATTTACAAACATCTGTGTTTCGTCACCGTTATTAATGTTTGTTAATTATCTTTGCCAAAAGCAGTGGCATATCACGAAACGTGTATCTGCCTCATAAGATTCCTTATCAGACCAAGAAACTTACTCCAATTTGTAAAAATCTGTTTTATAGAATGACTGAGTTTAAATCTCAACCCGTTTTCAACCAATCATTTTACAACAGCGGTCAACAACTGGCTCTATCAAATATGCGATTAGTTTAAAACTTTGTTTACCTGAAGGCCCGTGTTTATAAAACCGTAAGAAAGGTAAAGAGCTTTTTCAACTTACACGAAATCATGCAAAGTGTTATACAATAAACATTACATAACGAAAAACCCTTGTATATTCCATACTGAATAAGTATACTAGTAATCGATACAGTTCTCATTTTAAAATAAACTTCTTATCGGCCAATGTACTTCTTTTTAACCCTTGTTATCAACAATTTTAATGAAAAATATTTGAACTAAATGTACTTATCATTTCGTAATACATCTACATTATATGATAAAATATATGTCATCTTCATGATAGTAATAATATATATATTTCATCATTTTACAAAGATTTAAAAAAAAAGACCGATATTCGTTTCTGGAAGCTTTCAAAAACTGTACTTTTTAAGAAAATAGTGTGCTTTTTTGGTAAAGAAAATAAGTACACTTATGTTAGTAAGACTTTGAAGGTGTCATATCTAAAATTAGCTGTGTCCTTGTTTCAATGACATAGAATTTACCCCGTTTTATATTTTGATAACCACGACCTTTACAGTGATTATCATGAACAAAAATAATTCACCACCATCTCCTTATTTGGTCTCATATTTGTTAAGGTAAACTGTTAAAACTCATAACCTTTAAAGGACAGGTTTTAAGCTTAAGTTAAAATACGCATGCGCGCACACTTGCAATGGCATCATTTATAGTAGCTTAATTTTTTGTCTGTTCTGTTTTTTTACATAAGTATAAATATATTGTTGTATTTGACTTAATCAAAAAACTTCATCATTGAAATATTTAATTTTACAAGATATTTTAAAAGTATTGTTTATATATTTACAATATGTCATCAACTTCCATTACGTGAAATCTGTTGAAATCTAAATGATTTATTATGACTCAATACATGTTGTTGTGTTGTTTATTATTGTTGTTCTTTTTTTAAGGGGGAGGGGGCGGGAGGTTATGAAAGAATTCTTAAAGAACGTCCAAAACAATGCAACTAAAAATGTTGCAAGCTCATTTTGTTTGAGCCTGCTCCTGGCCTCTACTTGAAAGTGCAAGGTATTGTCAACGCCCCGTAGCACCGGATTCAACCTTATTATAATATCAAGTTAAAAAGCATCCGGAAATGTGATCATTCAACTTCAATTTGATGTGTTATTGTCATTCGAAAAGCGGCGTTTGGTCCATTTATGTATAAACGTGTGTACA